GGATGAGTTGGGGAAGTCTGGGGCAGAGCAGCTGAGGTGCTGCCAGGTTGGTCCTGCAGCGCCGAGTGGTGCATCCCCCCCACTCCACCCCGGACTCCTCATAGCCCCCCCTTCTTATAGTCCGGCATATCTGATAATCCGGCACCCCCTGGGTCCTAACGGTGCTGGATTATCAGAAGTTTACTGTAATGTCACATTAAGACCATATTGTGGTTGAGGTGTCGGGTGACTGTGGTGATATAGCACATGGTGATAGAGAAAAGCATGAATGCGGTCTAAGAGGATATATTATTGTCCTCCTCTTTTTCCTTATCAGTTTGAGGTTAGAAGGTGAAGTTTGCTAAAAGTTATTCAGAGACAGTTAGGAACTCCTTAAAGCCTGATAGTGGTTTAATAATTTGATGCTGAAGTTAGAGTTTAGGGTACAAAATAGCAACCTTAAAGAAACCATGTCCATCCTTGTGTCAATCTTTTAGATGAAAATACTGCTGGATTATTTCTATATATAAACTTTGGAAAATGCAAGGGGACAAAAAAGGCCTCATCTAGAGCCCACTGAAGACAGTGGAAAGACTCCCAGTGACTTCAGTGATCTTTGAATTAAGCCCAAAGAAAGAACGTTTTAATAATCTCTTTGGAAATGTATAATGTGTTCTTCAAAATGGTAAATAAAACATCAACCATAGTCTTATGAAATGCACTAAATTTGCTTGCAAAGATGTCCACCATCTGTACCTTAGTCTGTTGCTTCATTTTAGTTTAGAATACATCTACACAGCCAGCCTTTATTTTGAAATAAAGGCGAGCTGGAGCACTTCTTATTCCAACTCCTGTAATCCTGATTTTACAAGGAGGAAGGGAATCAAAGGAAGGGTGTTCTTCCTTCGACTTCCTACTGCATAGATAGCGCCAACAGCTGAATTAAGCTATTTCGACTTAAGCTACGCAATTAACCTAGCTCAAGTTGCGTATCTTAATTCATCTTTGGCCCTGCTGTGTAAACTACCCTTCGTTTTTTAGATCTATCCTTCATCCATAAGAAATTACACAGGATTCTTCCTCAGCCTTCATCTAGGAAAGAAGACATGTGTAAAGTTATATTTTGCAATAAACTAAACTTTCTACCAAGGTTTAGTATTCCATCAATTGACTTTTACAGGAATGTACCACAGCATTGTTAGATTATACAAATATGTTTTGAAATTAATTTAGTGTAGTAATGTTGCCCTGATGCATGACATATATACACACACAGACTTGGAGAATTTGATTTTTATGAATGAATGTTGATAACCATGGATTTCACCATGCATATGCAAAATAGCAAAAAAAATTATTTGAAATGTACAGATAGGCATAAAAAAATACTGTTTGAGAACTTATTGGAGTTTGATTTAAGAATGTTTTAATATTTTTACATGTGATGTTGACAACTTGCGGTTATAAAACTTATTTTTTTTAACAGCTACTATAATAAAATCGTTATTTTCTCTAGCAGCCCTTATATCCTATTCCCATTAACTTCCCACAAATGTGAACATTTAAATGATAAACATTAAAAAATACTTTTAATCCATAAATTTGCACATCTCTGAAAATGTAAATTGATAGTTATCTGAAAAATTGCTTTAAAATCAACAGATATTAACCATCAAAATTATAAAAAAATAAAAACTGAATTCTATCAAGCTTGCACATATCTCCTCTGAAATGGATAATCCAACATTAACAAAATTACTGTCTTAAAAAGTAAGTATACATCACATAGCCTACTTCAAGTAAAGGCATAATGGCTTATTTTCAGCTGCAGCCTTAATCTTTGAATCATGTGTGAAATAAAATTATTTTAGAAAATAAGTAGTAAAAGTAGTTTTCAACTCTGAAACAGTTAAAGTCAAAACCCTGCACCCTGGCTGAATGATAAGAATACCTATATGGTATATATGAGCCTTTGCTAAGTGCGGTTATGCTGTGAAAATATGCTGCAATGCATATGTACACTAAAATGCAGCAAACTACAGCAATTATGGAACTTGTAATAATTTCCACAATGGACCATACTTATCTTAGTGCCACATTAGCAGTTCAAAAGTTAGTCACAGATTACATAAATGAGGTATGGATTATCGGCTGGCCAAGATTCCAGCAAAGAATAAACAGATTGCTCTCCCCCTATCTGCCAGAAATAGTTGGCTGTGGAAAATATTGATCCTACATCCCTACCCTGTCTGATCAGAATTTACTTATGTTAATGGGGAACTAAGGTCTTTATCAGATTTTGTTTCCTGGAATCAGTTGAAAGTGAGAAAGTAGTGTATAATAGCTGCAATTTTTGTATTACACTTTTAAAAATCTACCATTAGAATGCAAATGTTGGTAGATGCACACTTGCAAAAGGGTAGTGACCCTGTATGGACAGCACACAACAAATCCTATATGCCCCTGGTAAATTGCAAGATGTCACCACCTCCTATTGCCTTGATCTAAAAAGATTACATTCATTTTAGGTTGTGTTGACAGATATGTTCTAGCTGAGATATCAGATAACACCATTTCTATTTGCATTCTAGGTTTTTAAAAATTCAATTAGAAATTGGATTTTCTTCGTTGACACCACACAAAGTATGGTTAACCATGTTTTCAGCTGAAACTGATGCTTTCTGATGCTTTATTTAAAAAGTTGTATTAGTAGGAATACGAGAATAACTTGATTAAAAATTATGGAAGGAGACAAGGTTTGGGACAGTCTACCCAAAGTATTCATGAGATGACCTTGTTTTTTTCTGATCTGCATTTTATGATAAAGGGTTATTGATGCTCACAAGAGCTGAGACAGTTGCTGAGTTGAGACTAATGTTCAAGATGAGGTTCTCAACATCTCATATTTCCACACTCTCATTCTATGCAGGGTATGTCACATTATCTTGCAAAAGGAGTTCACTAATAGGTTAGTACAAAGCATTTCAATTCAGCTCCAAATGAAGCTAAGTGAGTGTCTTTGGTCTACTTAGTGGGAGCTGGATAAGTCCCCCCTAGTGACAAACAGCTATTAAAAAAAACCCAGCCCAACTTCCAACCTACAACTCTCTCTCAATCAGCTCTCATCCCCGCAAGCACCCCTCTCTCCTTCCATTCGGGCATGCATACCCCCAGCATCCTTCTCCATCCCACAGGCCTCCATGGCTCTGCTCAGCATCGTTCCCTCCCATTTTGGTGTTCCTGCTAAACCTCATTCACCATCTTCATTACAATGAGGAATCCTGTTGCACCTTAAGAGGCTGATGGATAATTCCCCATTGATTTTGCAGATACAGACTAACACAGCTACCCCTTTTGAGACTTGTCTTCATTACATTCACTATGTACAACTACAACATACTGAAATGGTGCCAGTCACAATACTTGGATGCACATATTTTCTGACTAACATATACACAAAGTGTAAGTTGGTCAAATGAGAGTGTGTGAGTGTGAGTGGTAGGGGGGTTGGTTTACCTGGGCTGGTTATAAGGCTTTCTATTTTAGTTTCCCCTACTCAGCTCCCCCAAAATGTACACAGCCTCACAAGGTTCAAGTGCTTTATTTCACAAAATAAACAACTCAGCTCAACTCAAGTCTTCCAGCTCTCCTCCCCAGGCTTAACTGTTCCTCCAACTAGATTTTACCGCCCCAAAGTCCTCCTAAACCCAGCCTTCTTCCTAGCCTCACCCAAAGCCTTTCCCAGACAAGTCTTCTGCTCCTGATCTCTGCAGGTGTCTCCCATCAGATGTTCTACCTGGCTGGTACAGAGCTCCTTTCCTGACCCCATGAGCTCCTTCTGTCTAGGCCAGTTCCCTCTTAAAGGAAGCCTCATTTCCAGGTTTCTGTCATGGGATGCTTGGCCACCGGACACGGCTGCCAGTCAAGGTCTGGGCATAGTTTGGTCCAAGTATTGTAATTTTAATGAATTATAAATCATGGATGTCCTGGCTTTCCTAGATCGACCTTTCAAGTTTCATGATATTTTATTTAACTTTCATCTGTATATTTTTGTTTTTCAGCAGCTGCTAAAGTAAAGAAGCATTTTTTTTCATATACTCAGTTTCAAGAAATATTATCATCTTATTAGGACAAGTAGTGATACCATAAAAGCCATTACTAAAACTTCGTGAGATTTAAGACTGTATTTGCACCACAGCACGCCAATTATTTCAAAGTCTTTTTTTTTTATATAATGAATGAAATTTACCATGTGTAAAGAGCTCCAAAATGCCAGAAGTTTCATACTCTTAACACATTGCACCAAGGTACCAGAATTTGGATCCAGGGGATTGGTGGAGAAAGGCTGCAGCTTCATTAGACAAGATGTACAGTAAATAAAACATCAACACCTAGACAAAACAACAGACCATACTACACCAACACAAAAAAAAATTCTAAAATCTACATCTTACAGGCATCTCAAGTTATTATACATATTCAATATCATTGTCACCCTTATCAGGGTGTATGGACAGCCTTCTCCACTTGACACACTCTCCAGCTTAATGAACATGGCATTTTTAACCCTTTGCAACGTATTACTTTCCCAGCACACTGAGAATTACCAGCATCCCCAGGAGCTATTGGCCTGCAACCCACCAGAATTCTATACAGTCTTCGTCTCCTGGTCTCAGTGAACAAAACTGGGATAAACAACGTTTATGAACCTGGTGCAATGCTTTAACAAACTGTCTTGCTTCAAATAGTGCAGCCCTCTAATCAAACTCATTGCCAAAAGGGACCTCAATGTAACATAGGCAAACAGCACTGTTTTATGGCTAGGACTTATGGGACAGCTGGTTACTAGATCCTCAGTTCTGCAAAACACTTCAATATGTACATAACACTCTTAAGGAGGAAGAGTACAGGTTATCGACAGTGCTACCTGCCTGAATCAATACATTACTCTACATAAAGTATGTACTTTGTAGTAAGCCCTGCTTTCTTCCAAACCATTAGCTGTTGGTTTCTCTCCACAGGAAGCAGGGAAGCAGCGTTCACCTATGCCATTACTGCTGCTGGGGTTGCACATGCTGTCACTGCCGCCTGCAGCCAGGGCAACCTAAGCAACTGTGGCTGTGACCGAGAGAAACAGGGCTACTACAATCAGGAGGAGGGCTGGAAATGGGGAGGCTGCTCTGCGGATATCAAATACGGCATTGAATTCTCCAGGAAGTTTGTTGATGCGCGAGAAATCAAAAAGAATGCCCGGAGGCTGATGAACTTGCACAACAATGAGGCTGGAAGAAAGGTATTCTAGACTAGGATAACATGCTCTGTGGAGGGTGGGGAGTCCTTTTAATTTGAAACTGAATTTAAGTGGGGCTGCTTATAATGAGGAATCCCCCCAGTCTTCACCTTCCTTCTAAGACAGTCATTCTGAACCCATCTCAAAGTTATCTGATGGTGTTTAATGCTTATATATGTTTTACAGATTCAGAAATGAGTACAAGTTCAAGCTCCATTGACTATTTCATAGTTTTTCTGCTTTTAACCATTTCTGCTTCCTTAGGCCATCTCCTAAGCTCTGTTGAAATTAGGCATGATTTTGCAGGAATTATCATGGGGGGTGCTTAATCTTTGCATTTTCCCCCCTTTGACAACAGCTAGCAAGAGGTAAAGGAGATGGTGGTGGAATGTGGAAAAATGTCTATGTTGCTGGACTCCAATAGCTCCAAGAGTTACTCATTCCACCCAAAGGCAAAAGGCTGCTTCAACTATGCCTCTAATCAAATACACACTTTGTAGAAAATGCATAACTCTCAATTTCACATTGCTGGAATGCATATAACCACATGATCACCAGACAAGTGTTACTTAATCTTTCGAAGAGGACACACACTTAAATGTCTACAATCATGATTCAGCTGCTTGCCAATGAAACACTACACTTAGTGGAACTAGGCCAATTGAAGATCTAATTCCGTAGCTCCAAAAGTTTGCCTTTTAAAAATATCAATCTGCCCTTTTTCATAATACACCACCACTCTCAAAAGAGATTTTGTTAAAGCTTTTAAAAATGTTTTCACCCTAAGAAAAAAGGGTGCACATTTTACAAGATGAAGCTTCTGTATTAATGAAATTGTATCATGTATGTGACCATACAGAAAGAGAATTTCGGTCTACAACAGACCAGAAAAAAAATCAGACATTATTCCTTTCAAATGTCCTTCCCTAAACAATTTGTGTTGTCACTTGCTTCTGCACAGTAGCTGTTTTCCACCCCAGAGGTGGCTCATTTTTGATGGAGGCTGAAACAATTCCTATATAAACTGTATTTTGAAAAAAAATACAACAACTTCAATCCATTCACAAACCTCTCGGGAATTGCAGTGGGAGTGCTGTACACAAACTGAGGGTACAATATGGCCATTAGTTTTTAAAATGCATTTTTTTCCAAATGCGTTATGTAAAAGCAAGATAAAGAAAGTGAAAAATGGAGTGAATGATCTAGAGTCTTCTAGACTGCTGAAATGGCAGTCAGAAATTCCTAAACAGGGGAACAATGGACATTTTTATGTCATAGGTGGAATGCAGGAGGCAAATTAGCTGAAGTGCATGCTAGAAGGCACCCTTAAAAGAGGTAAAGTTGACCTGGGTGGAGCAGTTAGGAAGGAGAGGGCAGCCAAGACATGGCTCCAGGCCCCATTGGGGCTGCTGGTCTGAAGCTAGTTGTCCATTCTTTGCTTCAGCACCTGATGTGTTTGGGGTGTACATACAGAAACCAAGTTAGTCATTGAATTTCTGAAATGAAGCATTTATTTCAGTAGTGGGCTATCTGCTGCCCAAGGGCCACATACAGCCCATCAGAGTTCGATATGTGGCCTGTAAGACATTTTATTTACTGCACAGTGGTGACAGGGAAGGAAAGGGTGCATGAGCTACATGCCCCACTCCACCTGGTGAAGGGCTGGAACAACTCCCTTCCTCCCCAGGCCCCGTCTCTGCTCCCCACTGCTCTGCCCCTTGCTCCATGGGGGGCCTGTGCCATGCCCCTCTGTACTTAACGGCAGCAGGGAAGGCACAGGCTGGGGGTCTCCATCTAACCAAGAACCTCCACCCTCAATTCACTCCTGCAACCCAGGCCCCACACCCTCACCCTGCTCCTGCACCCTCCCTCCCAAATCCTCCACACCCACCCTTCTGCACCTGCCCATTCAGACCCCACACCTCCAGTCTGCTCCTGAGCCCTCCCTCCCATCTAGACCCCCCCATCCTCAGCTGGCTCTGTGGAATTCCCCTCCCACATACTGAACCCCTCATTTCTGGCTCCATCCCAGAGCTTAGGAGGGCCCCACAAAACCTTTTAGCACCCCGGATCCCAGAAGAGTTAATGTGGCCCACGGGAAGGAGGGGGGGTTCTGAGCTGGGGCTGGAGTGGATGGGATGTTCTGGTGTAGGATGAGAGTGTCTCTTTTTTCCATGTCTGTTAGTTTGGGGCTATGCCCATGAGGGTTGGGGGGAGGAGGAGGGTTAATTTGCTTCTTACATGCATGTGCCCCCAACTGACTTTGCTCTGGGCCAGGGCCCCCCCCAACCCAAAAAAGGTTCCCCATCCCTCATCTCAAGTCACAAACTGATATTGGGGTTCCATTATGCTGGGTGTTTTACACACTCTTAATTGATGGTCTCTGCCTAGTCACTTACAAATTAAATTATCAAGAACAGACCTGGGCAAAGTGCAGCCCACAGGTCAGACCTGGTCCACCAAGCCATTGGATACAGCCTGCAAATGTAGCAGGGAACCCCAGAAAAGCGGCTTCTGGGCCGTTTCTCTTTAACAACTGAGGCACGGTGGAGGCAGCTTCAGGGTTTGCCCTTGCCCCCAGCACAATCCCATTGGCCAGAAACTGGCCAATGGGAGCTGCCTGTTTGAATAACAGGCAGCACAGAAAGCACCAAGCCCCCTTCCCTCCAGCTTGTAGTTATTCACACAACCGCACAGTTCCTGCAGCCTGTGCTAGGGCAGGGCTGGCAGGAAGGCTACCTTAAACGTGCTGGCCGGGAGTTGCCAGGGTGAGTCTCCCGGCCCCACCCTGCCTCTCACATCCCAGGTCCCTCCTTTCCCCAATCCTCTGACCCCACTCCTGCCCCCCTTACTCCACATACCCAAACCTTCTGTCCCTCTCCTGTACCCATATCCCTGCCTAGATTTGACACCCCAGTTCCCTGCCCCAGATCACAATCCCATCCTGCCATAGGTCACAACCCAACCCCCTGCATCCTAGTTCAAAACCTCAGGCCCCAACTGCCTCCTTCACCCAAACTCCCTCTGAGACCCCACTCTCCCTCCTGCACCCCAGTCCCTTACCCCAAGCTTCCTTCTGCACCCAACCTCCATCCCTGCATCTCCTCCATTAATATCATGGAAGAGTGCAGCGTGGCCCTCAACCACTTACCAAATTCTTGGAGTGTCCCCCCCCCAATCAAAAATCATTGCCCACCCCCGATCAAGACAGATAAAAGGTGTGAGTGGCAGAGAGAACTGAAGTGATTTGCCCAGAGTCACATAGCAGGTCAGTGCCAGTGCTGGGAATTGAATCCAAAGCTCCTGAGTTCCAGTCCATGTCCTTATTCACTAAACCACACTGCCTTCTCCAAATAAGCAAATAAATAATAGGTGAAATGTCATAAATGGGAGGAAAGTAACCCAAGAACTCCTGAGAGGACCACATGAATAATTCCAGAAGGAATTTTCAGGAAAATACATTTGAATTAGTATTTGTGAGGACTTCACATTCTGCAAACATTCTCACAAACACCAAAGGAATCACATGAATGAATGGTTGTGGACCATGTATAAAAAAGGGTTATGAATATTGTCACCACCATTTTGTTCAAATGAATTCATAAATACTGTTTTAGGATTCACTTACCCTTTTTCTGGAGATGTGTCAATTAAAATTCATTTCCATTTTAATGATTATAAGCTATATTAATTTTTAAGCCGCTAGTGATAAATTGAAGAATGGTGGAGCCTTTTAATTAATGAATTAAAACAATGTTTTAATTTGAATCACTAAACATCAGGGAAGGGGATCAGAGAAAAGATTCTGGGTTTTGGCCATCTCTATAAATAAGATCAGAGTTATGACAAGATGAATATTCAAGGTTGAGCTGTGCTGCAAAGTTTGGTTCAAGTTTGAACAAAAAGTTCAGAGGTCATATGGGGTTTATGCCCTGGATATTCTGAGTTCAGGGTCTGACTGAAGTTAAAGCAAATCTCAGTCTATATTGATGAGTTTTGCTGTGTTGTGAAACCACTTAGTTTCCCATGTTTTCACTCTGAAATGACAGATCCCTTTTCTGGGAACCCAACGGAGAGGAAAGAGGATGTATTGAAGTCTGGATTGTTATTACCTGACACTTGGCCCTTGTTTGAGAATCTGGGTGAACCTGGACTGAATTTTGAACTTGTAACAAATCTGAAACCAAGCCAGTTTTGTCCACTTGCAGATTTGTTCTGATAAATTTTGCCTGGCCCTACTTCATAGTAATGTCAAAAATAAACTAGCATACTTATCACTGGCCTGTATACTCAGGGTGTGTCTAGACTACTGAGTTTTGTCGACAAAAGTGGACTTTTGTCGACAAAACTATACCTGCGTCTACACTACCGCTGAGTTCTTTGCCCCCCACTGAAGTTAATGAAAACACTCTCATTGGACAGGGATCTAGGAATTCATCACTTGGATGGGTGCATTTCTAACTAAACTGATTAATATTTTAGACCTCAGAGGCAGCACTGAGAAGAATTAACTCTACACGAGTGGAGTCTTCTTAGAATGCTTCCAACTCCCCTTATGAAGTGATACACCTCCTCTTTCATATATAGCTAAATTGCTCTGACACTCAACCATAGCACAGCCTATAATGTTATTCCAATAGAATAGCCCTTGAAAGAGGCAGGTATTTGGGTTTTTTCAGGATTTTTTTAAGCTGGCCTTCTCAAATTGCCTATGCATTGCACTTCCAAATATTGTTCAAACTAATATCCAGTTTGTGAATTTTCTGATAAGTGACAGAGTTGACATCAGTGCTGTTTGGAAGAACTAGGTACTCAGGACTGTTGATGAAACAGTAATTTGCTACTGATGAAAGAGCTGAGCTCTATAAAGCAGCACTGAGGTGTGTAAAATACTGAAGTAACTCCAATGTAATTTTTAAAATGATTGCTATGGATCAAAATAGTCTGAACTGTACTTGGAAGTTTAATGTAATTGTTACCACAAACGGCTGAAAGTCATTAAA